ACATATTAAATAAACACTTGTTGAACCTGTTCTTAAAGTTGCTGGATGGTTTACTAGTTTGAGAGCCAGATTTTAACACCAAGGTCCTGAGTTCAATCCCAGCCAGCCACAACTCCCTTCCATTTTTTTTAGTAACTAATAACACTCGTTTTTTCAAAAAAAAAAAACGAAATTCTAAAGCAATGGTGCACCCATTTTCTTGAAATCCTGTATTCGCCTCTGGCTAAAGCACACTATTGATTTGATGTTGTTATCTCCTGTATTCAGATTAGCAAACCAGAAATAATAAAAGATGAAAAGAAAAACACAAAGAACTATCCGAGTCCACAGAACCCACTGTGTGTCCTTAAGAAATTTAATCCCCTCAAGTACCCGAGGTTGCAGATTAATTCCTCCCAAGATAAAACGGATTAACCATTAAAGAAGTAGCGGTACCTCAAACTTCGATAATTTCAACGAACTCAAAATGACAGCAACGAATCACACACACAGACACGATCGATCGATTTTGTTTTGTAAGAAATGTATGCAAAAGAAGGGAAGAATTCGATACAGAAAAATGAGAGAAAATCTCTCTATTTATAACCAACAAAGGGTAAAGGTCACAACCCTTTGGAAAGAAGACAACCTTTCAGAAAGAAGACAACCTTTTAGAAAGGTCACAACACTTTGGAAAAGGCATAACCTTTCAAACGGTCACAACCCTTTAGAAAGGACACAACCTTTCATACAGTTTACAACCCTTCGGCATAATCACAACTCTTCAGGAGAGTCACAACCCTTCATTTCCTGTTCACACCTTTAAAACCCAACAATTTTCATGTCGTTTTCAAGCAACAATAAATAAACATTCTTCTCATTTGTAGAATCACTAGCCATGAAAGAAAATTAAGAAAACTCTAAATCAATGGAGTTTTACTTTAACTTTTAAAAACTAGAAGACAAAACTTATTGAAAGTTATGTCAGATACATAAGTTTGAAAATGATTAGATAGATGAAAACCTCAAATTGTTTTGTTGTTGTTTCAAATTTCAATTTTAAAGATTTAATAGTGAAATTCGTGGTGCAGAGAAGGAAGAAAGAAAGAAAGAAAACGGTGATGGAGATGCAAGTTGATGAGGGAGAGAGAATTGATTAACATGAAAGCTTGAATTGATCATGCTTTAATTGTGCAGATAACTAATTTTAAGGGGTCGTTTGGTGTAATGGATAAGGGAAGTTAATCTCGGGATAAATTTTAAGTAGCCTTTATTTTCTTGTTTGGTTGGAAAGCTTGGGATAACTTATCCCAGGATTATGAATTAGTACCGGGATAAGTTATCCCTCTTATTGGGCGGTATAGTAATCCCGGGATAACTTATCCCGGGATAAATATAGGTAAATGACAAATAAATCCCTTTAAATCCTTTTTATACATCATTTTTCACATTTTATTGGGCGGTATAGTAATCCCGGGATAACTTATCCCGGGATAAATATAGGTAAATGACAAATAAATCCCTTTAAATCCTTTTTATACATCATTTTTCACATTTTATTTATATTTATATTATTTTTAATATCATGTATAATAATATTTACTACTTCTTATTTTTATAATAATCATTTATATTTTTCTATTAAAAAAATACACTATATAAATATAATTTTTATTTGACTAATTCTTATGTTTATTTTATTTTGATTTCTCATAAATTTTCTTCTCTTTAACAAGAGAGAAGGCCCAAAATAGTCCCTTGTCTTTGGGTTAAGACTCAAAGTCATCCTTCAGTTTTCACATGGAGCACTAATAGTCCCTCATGTTTGCAATATTGGTGCGCTTTTGGTCCTCTAGGTTTTGCATATTTTTAACATTAATTTTGTTCATAAGTAAAAATAAATAACTAAAGGTCGCAAAGAAAATTTTAAACATTAAATAAAGTGAAGGGTAATTTTGTAAACAAACAACTTGTTCTTAAAATTTATCAATATATATTATTTTGAATACAACAAACCAAACACTCAATAAGAAATAATCCAACACAACTTATCCCATCATAACTAATCTCAACATAACTTATTCCATCATAACTCATTTTCAAACCAAACGACCCCTAAGAGATATGGATATCTAATGACATCTTCAATGATATATGGTATAAAATATTAAAACTGGTAACATATGTAATTATTTGAAAGTACAAGTAAGGTTACAATATATGATAGTGATGTATGTCTAATAAGGTAGTTTTAAGTCATCGAGCGCCACTTAAAGTTGTTCACATATTTCACTTAGACACCTTAATTATATCGTGTACCTATTGAACACTTATATTATTTAAAATGAGTATTTATTAGACACTTTTTGCTGATATGGTATGAAAAGTGCAACTCCGAAAGAAGTTGAAGTCGATGGTAGTTGAAAGAATGGTTTGTTATTTCAACTTTCTTTTTTATATATGTCTAAAAAAAACATATATGAAAAACATAGTTGGATTAAGAGAAAACAAGGGGTGATGATGGGGACGACAATAGAGGATGTACGCAGCATTCGGAAAGAAGTTGAGTCGATGGTAGGTGGACAATAACTTAAGAACATTTTTCCTCTTTTTTTGTCATGATTTTTTAATTATTATTTTGACTCAAAATGCCACACGTACATCGTTTATTCGTAAATTTTTCACGTCATCGCGAGTGTACTACACTCACTTTATATTTTAACTGATTGTCAGAAAAATGCTTAGATGGTTCTAATCTAAATGGGTAGTAGTGTTCAATAGGTACAAACCTTAGTTGATGTGTTTAAGTGAATTATACGGACAACTTTAAGGGGACGTGGAGGACTTAAGCCAAATATTTTTGAGCAACTTTCACATATAGCAAACATAAAAATCATATTTGTATGTTATAATTATAGTTTGCATAATTGTGCTCCATAACAAATTTTATGTTTGCTATGGAGCTTTTGATTTGTATAATTCGCTACAAACATTCAATTTTATACAAAAATTATTCAGTTTTGTATAAATTCATTTATACAGTGCAATTTGTATAGTAAGATCTGTATTTGTATAATTATAAGTGTATATAACGAAAATATATGTATTTGTATTTGTATATACATTTTTTTCTCGTTTTATACAAACAAAAACACATTTTATACCGAAATATATAAAATGACTAATTATATACCGAAAATGGCTAATTGTATATCGAATCATATGGCAAAAAAATGGGATGTTTGCTGCGAATTACAATTAAAATAAACTATGACTATAACATTTAATTTGAATTAATAGTTTGCTATTTCATACAATTTTTCCAATATTTTTTACTTGAATTTCGACCACTTGATGGGCCTAAAGCAAAAGCCCAATTCATTGAGTCAATTTGGCCTACCACCAAACAAGCCCAATAAGGCCCTTTTATGGTTCACCCTTTCTCCATTGACAAGCTTTCTTTAGACTGAAAATTCCGCCATTATCGTTAGGGTTTAAGAGCTCTTACACTCTTTCGTCTTCACCAAAGCAATGACAACCTTAATCCCTGTTGGCTCCAGAACAAACCCATTTCAGAAACAGCTTCATCATCATCGTCCAATTTATGCTAAACCCATTTCTTGTCTCACCTTCAGAACCTCACCTCCACCATTTTACCCCTCCACCATTAAAGCCTATTCTTCTTCACAAAATTCTAAAATCCCAAAACCCCTTATCCCTCAAACCCCTAATGAACAACCCCATAACCCATTTTCATTCGTTAAGCCAACACTCATTGCTACAATTACTGCCACTACCCTTTTGTTCGCTAGATACTTTGTCTTCCCGAAACCTGCACTTTCTAACCAAGCTTTTACTTCGTCGGCTATGGAAACTGATGTGGTGAGAGATGCAATTTCAGAGGAGGAAAGGGAAAGAACAATTGAAGAACACCTGGTTACTCACCCGGATGATGTGGAAGCGTTAAGGATTTTGATGGAAATTCGGATAAAGAATAAGAAAATGCTAGATGCTATTAGCATTATTGATAGGTTGATTGAGCTCGAACCGAATGAGACCGAATGGCCCTTGTTGAAATCTCATTTGTATGTGAACTCTGGGGAGATTGAATTGGCCAAAGTTGGGTTCAATGAGATACTAAAGAAAGACCCTTTTCGTGTCGAGGCTTATCATGGACTCGTTATGGCAGCTTCACAAGATGAATCGATTGAGGAATTGGCCGAAATCGAGAAGAAGGTTGAGGAGGGCATTAAATTGTGTAAGAAGGAGAAAAAAAAAAGTGACTTGAGGGATTTTAAGCTGTTGCTTGCACAAATTCGGGTGATAGAAGGGAAATATGAAGATGCATTGAAGGTTTATCAGGAGTTAATTAAAGAGGAGCCTAGGGATTTCAGGCCTTACTTGTGTCAAGGAATAATATACACATTATTGAGGAAAAACAATGAGGCTGAGAAGTGTTTTGAGAAGTATCGGAGACTTGTACCGCAAGGGCATCCCTATGCTAGGTATTTCGATGAGAACATGATTGCAACAAAGGTTTTTGCACAGAGGGCGGAGAATGAGAGAGCTAGCTCAAAAAGCTGAATAGAATAAGGCTTCGGTTCTGCTGAAGTTCAGATTGGATGGTAGAGGTATGGTGGAAATTATTTTGCTCTATTTGTTACTAGTTACATAATGGTTTGAGCTTAGTAGATGTTCCAATTAAGTTTGTCTGGTTTGCATAGGTTTATTGTTATATGAGTTGTGGAGTAGCAATTAGGTTCAGACAAAAAGATCTCTTTTTTTGGTTAGTCAGAGGGGAATGGTGCTAAGGCTCTTTAATAATTTTCAGCAGGTATCTGAATCGAACGACATGATATCATAGTTCATTTAATCAAGAATGGAAGTGAGAACCATGTTTTGTGATTTTTTCTTTAATTCTTTTGAAACTTCCATGATATGTGTTTGATATGAGCTGTCCTTTTACAAAATGAATGCACTTGATATGTGTTGTGATGTTGAGATGGATGGAAGAGACAGACTTACACAGCCAACTTTGCTGCATAGAGTATTATAGATGTAAAGAGTTGTTTGAGGAATGACTCTGCTTCATTGTCAACGTTCCGGTTTCCTCCATCAACCATTGAATGCTTGATTGGTTCTAATCGTGATTGCATCTGTAAATCTTATTATGGCTTTAGTAGACGGTTTTTATACTTCACCCCTGTTCTTCTTTTGCAACTTAAGCCAGTTTTGAAGCAAGTCTAATCATCAGTGCATTAGGATATTTTATAGCGCTTGAGTTGTCTGATAAAAGCTGTACCATACAACCACAGGTTATCCTAGCTTTCAGAAGTGAATTTACTATCTTTGTAGTTAGAGATAACCATGACTCATGACCGCTAGATCAGGTTTGGGATCCTAATCCTTGAATAGAGTTGAAAGAGAACAAGGGTAGCGAGCACAATTTGAGATGGGTCAAGGAATACTTGTCATTGCAGCCATTTCCTGTAGTATGAGTTGTTGTTAATTCTTTATCAGTCATTATGTTCATGACTAGAAGTGGTTTTGTGTGGATAGCCAGCAACCAGAAATATGTGTTGCTCCATAAATATCTTGGAGGATTATCTTCCGACAACAATTTAGCCATAAAGCTTGGCAGATGGCAGTGAACCTGTGTAGAAGAAGCATGCAACTGATATTGTTGTCCCACTTTATTTGCCAATACTCGGTGCTCAACACTTGTGTACTTGTCATTTGTTATAAGCTGAAAAAAGCAACAAAAATAACCATAAATGATATCAGTGCCAAACTAGCTAGGTGGTAGATTAAACTCTTATTGATTGTAGTTGTTTAGAAAAGTAAAAGAATACTAGCCTGCAGGTGTAGGAGGAACATTAACCCATTGATTCTGGTGAAGCACTTGAAGTCCTCCAATAGGATCTTGTAGAAGCACTGTGATAAAATCATTGTCAGAATGTTTGTTGGTGCCTATCTCGAGTTCTGGCTGGGAGCATGCTGGATAGTAATGTCCCAAAATACCTAGCCCCTCCGCGCAATCCATATCCTTGAGATGGCAACGATTAAGACCAAGACCTTCTGACAATAATTCAAGTAAGGAGCAGCCTAGTTTCATCAGATCCTTAGAGTACTCCATTAGTATTTACTGCAGTAATTTCAAATAAAATTTGATGTAATGCCGCATGTTGATACTTGAAAAAAATTAAGTATACTCAATTGGCTCAAAGGGACCATACTTCTAGTTGAATTACTTAGTTCTCCAACAATATCCACCAAAACTCACATTAATCATAAATCAGCTGCAAGAAAGCACTTAACCATAACAACATCAATCATGGTTTGCTGTTGATTTTTGTCATAAATGAAGCTGGTTGGTTTTCTAATACATGTTCAGAAACCCCGAAACATTTTGATCCCAATCTTCAGACAAGTGTGGCTTGCTCAAGTGGTTGAGCACCTTCACCATGAACCAGTAGGTTGAGGGTTCGAGTCACACTCGAAGGTAAGTGGGAACACAAACTATTGATCCTCTTGGGGGTGGGGAGGGGAAAAAAAGTTCATGTTCAGAACATCTACCCGCATGCTGGCAATTCTTGTGGACTGGGAGGATCAGGAGCCATTAAACAGAAAAGTGTGTCTCCCCAATTTGCAGCTGGAACAGAAGGGCTATATAGATCAAAATTGCTAGTATCAATCACCCTTTTCGTAGTATCTCGAGTGTAGTACTGTTTCTTAACCTCAACATCTTGTTCAAAAAACTCTCGTGTTCCTTGCAGCATTTCTTCCCAGACGGATGTTGGAATCCCATGTTTAACCACTTGGAAGAAACCCCATGTCTCCGATGCATCTCGAACTTCATCCACAATCTCTTTGTGTTTGATTGGGTCCTCGTCGATGCCTTCAAGGTCTATCAATGGGAAAATGAACTGTGTTTCACATGTATCCGAGGACTTCAGCCTTTTTTTCTGTGGTAGAATGAATATTTGAGGTACCTTATCGATTCCAGCATCATCAAAGGTTTTTAATTCACTCATTTTGTCATAACTTTTCTTAACTGTGACCTGAAAATCATTAGTGCTAGAGACCACCATCTTCTTTTTAGGATGTTATGAACTAAGGTCACTTAGTATGAGTTGTCATTGCAGTCATTTCCTGGTATGAGTTGGATGTTAATTCTTTATCAGTTATCATGTTAGCCACCAGAAACATGTATTGCTCATTAGTTCTTATTTTGTACTATTTTTTTTGCTTGTTTTATATTGGTGATTCCTTCGGCACAAACCTTGCTGTTAGTTGAGTCTTGACTCAAAGTTGGGTAATCCTAGTAGCACATTCCTTTGCCATTTTGGGATGCTTGTTTAAGTCCATAGAGGGACTGATTCTTACCGGTAAGCCAGATGCTTCGCGAACCCTATTCAACTTTAAGGCATTTCGTTGCACTTTAATCACCCTCGTGAAGAGGCGCACTCCGATACCATTGATGTCCAATAGCTTTTATAGTAATGGCTGGATCTGAGTTCTCCCCTGTGGAGAATATCCATGAAGGAGAGACATGTATACTTCCTTTTGGAACACGGTAAGGCTTTACGGTCCAACTCACCTTCGCAACTCTAGGTGTCATCGCACTCAAGTTACCATTATTTTTCCACTGCGCCATTGGACAAGCTAAACTTGCTCTAATCTAGTGTGTGTCCTCTTGTTTGGGTTCACTCAGCAGAAAGCTAACTCTCTTCTCAATTTGGCATTGACTGCAAATCTTGTTTTCCTTGTTATAGCCTAGCCTTCTGTTTATCAGTTTAGGTTCTCCACAGGTTCTTCATCTTCTATTCCTCTAGCTAGGTGCTGCTTGATGGGGGGGGGGGGGGGGGGGGGGGGGGGGGGGGGGGGGGGGGGGGGGGGGGGGGGGGGGGGGGGGGGGGGGGGGGGGGGGGGGGAGTGCCTTGATGATATTTCCCTTTTGCGCCCCTTTTGCTTGTGCACACCTCGACTGGTTAATCAAGTACATGCTACCTCTCACCAGCACAAGTGTCAGATAACTTCCTTTTTATTGTCATGTATTCACTTCATATCGAATGATCTCGTCGATCATGAATTTTTTGCTAAAATGATTTATTGAGAGATCGAAAAAGATACTAAAACTCTATTATCTATATTTGAATTTCAAAATCAAGATTTAGAATTTGTTTTCTTTAAACTGGTGATATATCTCACCTAAGGGTGTGGCTTAGTGGTCAATGAAGTGGGTTGGGAATCACAAGGTCTCAGGTTCAAATCGAGGCAAAACATTAGGTGACTCTTTTTCCATTTGCCCTAGTATCTGTTGCTGCTGTGATGTAAAGTTGATGGAGAGAGGTAACGAAGTATCCTATGGAATTAGTTTAGGTGCGTTATCTGGTTAGCGTAAAATCCCGTTTGTTTGAATTAGGCCTTGATATAAACATCAAGTTTTGTCATATATATAGAGAGAAGTCATTAGTTCTCTTTCATAATTTTATTTCTTTAATATATGAGAAATTTATAATATAATAAAGAAAAATCTATTTTTAAGTTCAATTTAAAGTAGATGTATCAAATTTTGGTAAAGAAAAAGTGAAAGTAGAGAAGAAAGACGGTATTGAAGTGGAAAAAGGAGACAAATGAGAAAGGTCTGAGAGTGAATTTTCTCCCCTACATACCTTTTTGCAAGTTAACTGATATTTTATATTATGAACTTAATAGGAATCCAACGCGATGTAAGACAGTTCGATTCATATCTAATGTGGGTATTACAACATTAAAGGAACATTTTCTTAGTACAAGAAGACCACGAAGGACGCACCTCTACTTGCTAGTTATCGTGCAAAGTAGAAAATGAGTGTTCTCCTATTTCGACTTTCTCAGAGCCATTGTGTTCGATAACACACTTGAGACAACAACAAGTTCTCTGCCCTTCTAGGTCCGACATAAGTTCTTTCCGAAAATTCAAGAAAAGGTCCTGACGAGACAAGTCCATTCATCATTAGGAAAAACGTTTTTCTTGATCTGGGTGCTTATCAGAAACAACCTTTCTACATCAATACATAAACATGACCATTAATTTGGCTTTAGTGGACAACTATGCCCTCCAACTTTGAGTGTGCACAAGTAGACACTTAAACTTGTATAAAATTGAACAAGTAGACACACGTGTCCTACATGATATAATACACATATGATGAATGTGTTCATTTGTTCAATTTTATACAAGTTTAGGTGTCTACTTGTGCACATCCAAAATTAAAGATCATAGTGGCCAGCTAATGCCAAGTTAAGAGTCATATTTATGTATTATCCCTAAAATTTGTGTACGCTCTTATGGGATCACATTGAGTAATGTTATTATATGGATATCAAGTGAAAGTGCAGTAATATAAACTAAAAAAAAAAAACAATATTCTTGAATAATGAAAACTCTTCACCAGATTCCTCTTTGCTTTGTTAGTAACTGTTTCTTCCTTTTCAGCTCAGTTTGCTGGCAGAAAATTATGAAATAATGATGATATTATTTCATGTCACTATGACAATACTTTTTTCACCTAGCAAAAGTTACACTGACAAAATTTGAAAAAAAGAGAGTTTAAATTAGCTAAAAATTCATATATAGAAACTTATCTTGATTGTACATGAAAGGCAATATTTACTATTTGAATGTAGGGTCAATCAATTGTACATCAACCTTTTTTTCATAAAATTATTTGGTTAAGAGCAAATATTTTATTTGAGAATTTGCTTCAATGTTTGGTGTTTTTAATCATTCGTATTGATTTGTCAAATATATTGAGTATTAAAAAAAAAGATATATTAAATCATTAAGAATTTGGAATGTGAAGTTCAATTAATTGATTTGAGGTGATTCGTATTACTATTATCAATTAGAATAATTTATGATCGACTTGAAATATTGCTCTTCGTATTCGTATTATTTTCCTCTTCAAAAATATTGCTCTTCTCTTCATACTTGAACTAAATTACACATATTTGATTATGATTAAAAAAGAAGAAGATAGAAGTGGTTAGAATAAAATAATTAAAAGTGGATCAAGGACAAAATATCACTTCTTCCATTTCATGATTGAATTGAAAATAGTGAAATATTACACTTTTACTTCTTCTTCCTCCAATAATAATTATACAACAAATTGGTTTTTCTTTTAAACTCGGGACTCATAATCTCTATCCTTCGAGTGAACACTTTGTTGTAACTTGTTAACTGTGTGATACGTCACAAATCTCACAAGAGATGTAAACTGCACTAGACAAGTCTCATGCGATGAGCTCATGACTGAATAGCAAAAGGAGGTTGAATTCGATTCCAAGTCTCTCACGTGGGAGACCCACCTCCCAACCACTCGATCAACCATGTCCTTGCGGGAACCGTTATTGTTATTATTATATAGTATTTATTCATCTACATAAACAATATATCGACATGGTATAAATATATATATTCTAATTTTTCTTCAAAGGGAATTCCGAGTTCTAAGCCCCCTTGCCTCTACCTGGCTCTATCCTTCACTGCGTCAAACTTGTCCATCAATTGATGATGAGTCACCTAATTAATTAATATAATTTCACCATAAAAATCTTACAAATCAGTACTTCTAACCACAAGTTGAGCTCTAAACACTAACAAAATATAATGTGACAATTTAAGATATTATTAACTTCAACATTCCAAACCCTAAAATGCTACTCTATTGCTATATGCCTAGTGTATTGATGGTTAAGTTTCTAGTTAAATTAGGACAAAAGTAAATGAAAGCCATTTGAAAGAAAACTCGAAAAAAGTAGGTTTAATTACCCTATGTTTCTAAGAAGATTTGGGATCTTTTTACATTATTAATTGGAGTACTATTTTAACCTATTTGGATTTTTTGTTTTCATATATCCAATTAGATTATTCTAAAAGAAAATATCTTATATACTTTCTTATTAAAGACTTTTGGATAGTGAAATCATATATAGATTTGTTTTTCTAAGGAGAACCTATAAATATCCTAAATTAATAAGTATTAATTTATGATTCAATTACTACAACAACAACAACCATACCCTCGATCCAAAACAAATTGGAATCAGGTATATGAATCCTCCGTGAACATATCGTACCTATAAATTGTGATTTAGGTGCCTCTAAAGACTGTAGTGAAGGGTAAATAAGTATTCTTTCATCCTTAAAGGATTATGATTATGCAATATTTTAATTTACTCCTCCAATCTGATACATAAATGAGAACTCTTTTTCCCCTAATATCTAAACATTATTTTGGTGGTAAGTGATCACTAATGGAATGATCTAGGTTAATTAATCTAGAAGATTAAATGATTCCTTTAGCAAGGGTGGCTGCTTGATGAAACCCTAATTTATGGGTATTGATTAGAAGTAGAATTGGACCTACAAAATACAACTTTAATAATTAAGACAATTTGCTTTTTTTAAAAAAACTTTATCTTTAATTAATTGTTGCTTAAAGTCAAAGTTATTCAGTTAAACAGCTCCATCCTTGTTAAAGAAGTTGTATTAACTTGTCACCACTCTCAGTAAAAACAATTAAGTAATTAGCAAATTAGGGTCTTTTAATTTAGTGCTTGAGAGTTGGGATAAGACTGTTTCTTTCTTAATCGAAAGTTCTGATTTTGAGTCGTACCGGTAAACGATGCTTCTAACACGAAAATTTGAATTAGTTAGGCTCTTATGCAAACATCGAACACCAGATAGAAAGCCATAAAAAAAAAATGTAGTCATATTTTTGAAATGAAATTTACCTTTTTCACAATTGAAAAATAGGACCACTAAATAGTTAGATACTAATATTTATATTACTCGATATGAGGCAACAATAGGACCAAACGAATAAGTCCATACAAATAGTACAAGAAGTCCGATCACTTGAGACATTATCACAATCCAAGTTAATTGTATATAATATATATTAGGTGTGTTGGCATAGCGAGTACATAGTTGTCTTTCGAATTATGTCATATTGAGTTTCAAAAACGTACGTATAATGTAAAAATGAGCTATATCTTATAAAAATCTTTACTTTCTCCTTCCATTACGTGTATCTCATCTTTAGAAATTTGTCAATCTGAAAACATGTTTCTTCTTTTACCTTGAATATATAAGACAATTTATAACTCTTGAGTTCCACATTGGTGGGCGTTAGGGTCGTTGATCTCTTTATATAATATTTGATAGTTCTCCCCTCATGAGTTAATTTTTAAGGTTTAGTTAGGTCAATGTTCATTTCTTTATCATATAGTATTAGATTCAGGCCTAATTTAATTCATTATATATTTTCATTCGATGTTGGAAATCCATCTTATATTATTTACGCTTTAGATGTCCAGTCATGCGGAAGAGTATTCGATCCCACATTAGTGTTCATTTATAAGGTCTTTGATCATCTTATATGATTTTGACAATCCTCTCCTCGTGAGCTAATTTTTTAAAACTATATATCCAAATTAACTCCGCAATGAAATTTCACAAAAAAAAAAAACTAGTATTATTTTTAACTAGTAGTGTATCAATTTGGATGTTTTTTCTAGTGTAATTTATAACACATTGAAATAAGCAACTCAATGGTGGCGTGTTTTTAGCCTTTTTCACTTTGACTATATTTTACACACACACTACCAAACGTTTGGTGTCTTGCAAAGGGATCTAATAATTAATGAAAAAACAATAACAGTGAAAAGGGAAAATAATAATAACAGCATGGGGACAAACATTATTACGGTAGGATGAAAATAATTAGTGTCTTGGAGAAGACAAATGATTCCA